CGCTTTACACTGCAATAGCTTTAATAGTAAAAATAATATAGTACGAGTTTGTTGCGATCAGCACTGTGTTTTCTATTTTCTGCATCTGCACCCAAGTCTGTATAAAATGAAGTTTTATATTAAAGGGCAGAGGGATATATGATGGGGTGGGGGTGGGCTCGTTGATATGAGATACATACATGCAAACAATAGTTACTGCATATACATACATATACATACATGCATGCATGCATGTATGTATATGTATATGTATATGTATATGTATATGTATATGTATATGTATATGTATATGTATATGTATATGTATATGTACATATACACACATGCATGCGTGCATGCATGCATGCATGGAGTAAATTCACAGCATGCATGCAACCAACTACTACACAGCCCCAGCAACTTTTTTCTTTTTTTTGCATTTCAGGTTAATCTGGAGGCGACAGGTTTGACGAATCGCATAGCGGACATGATATACCTTGGAAGGTGAGGAGGATAGGGAGATATTATGTTTTTTATGTGTTATGTTTTTTATGTGTTTTATTTCGGCTTATGTATATAAATTAATTTTGACTTGAATCTAATTTTGCATACATCTTGCAGCGCGAGATGAAATGTATTAAGAATATTATAATGTAGCATCAGCACACAGTATTAGTAAGCAACTAGTTCAACCGCTGCTGCAGCTGGTGGACCTGCTACCGCTGCTGCTGCTGTACCTCCTGCTGCTGCTGCTGCTGCTGCTGCTGCTGCTGCTGCTGCTGCTGTTGCTGCAGGGCGAGCGATCTCATGCAGACGCTTCAGCTGCTGGAGCCACTCCCCCCTGAATCCGCAAGCGAAGAAAATTCTGCTGCTGAGGTCTTCACTGAGCCCAACCCACGCTCAGGGTCTCAGGAGCCTCCTGCAAGGGGAAGCAGTAATTGACTAAGTTGCAGCCAAATATATCTCTGTTTATTCTTTACTTAATCCGTTTATTATTATTTTCTGTATATATATATATATATATATATATANTATAAATATTAATATATATATATATATATATATATATATATATATATATATATATATAAACACACAGGAGCGTATGAAGAACTGTCCAAGTATAGTTGCTGTTCTGGCTGCAACTGAATTAGAAGGATGGTTTGTTTGTTTGTTGTTCGTTGTTGTTTAGTTGCTTAGACGTATATGAACATGTGTGAGCGCGATAGAGCCAAATGCAGCAGTGAGTTTACCTTCATCATGTTCAGCTGCACAGAGAAGAGCTGATACTGGTGCTTAACCTGTACTGTCTAGAAGATGGAGTGTGACCGCTTTTGATTGAGGCGTTTCGTATGAAGCATATAATATATATATTGTTTACATACACATACATACATGAATATTTAGGAGTTACGCGAGGAGATGGCACTGGTTGCACCCGATATGGTGTTTGTGTTAGTCTAGAAACAGAACACGCAGTATTCGTCTTTATGGTGGTATTTCTTGTCTAAAGAAGATCCTCTTGCTACGATTACTACAGCTACTGAACTTATGCATCCACGAAGCCCTATATGTTGCAGTCAGTAGACGGGCGGCTCATGAAACACCTGCCCAAAACACTCTCCACCAGAGTAAATTCAGAAAGTTTAGAGAGTTCAGAAACATGGCGGAAGTATACATCTCCTCAACCACCATCAGGTTGCGCGATTCGACTTGCTTCTCTGCCCGGCTTACCAGCAGCAGAAACAGCGGGGCAGATGCTTGCAAGAGGTTTCAAAGAAACTGAAGAAGACCCCAGAAACAACAATAAATAAGTACATATATAAGTAAGAAAAGAGGAAGAAAGCATGAAAGAGGGACCAGTAAGAAAGGGGAAAGCTACTGCTGCCTCCCCCCCCCAAAAAGATGTATTCGCAATAAAGGAGAGCGCCGGGCGCTGTTGTGTTTGTATCAGACATTTGCGCCTCCGATCGTCAAATACGCCTCCAATATGTCACCCTGATGAGCACAGAAGAAGAAAGCCAACAAAAAAGCAATCTCAATATACAAGCCGCCAGGCAAAAAGAGATGAGTGCGTGTGTATACCTATCTGAACATCCACACGGTAACTGCTCGTATGGGCGTGCACAGAAGCATACGGAGTAGTGTTTAAATGCTTGTATGAAAGCAAACCCTAAACTCCAACCCCTACGCCCAAGCCGTGAAACACAACCCCAATGTTTATACATGTTTGAGTGTTTGTTCGCGTCTCCGCCCCGCGTTTACACCCCATGTAAACAGATGCCAAGCATACGCATGAAAGCACCCAACAATACAAAACGCAAACGTGCAAAGGGGCTGCGACGCCGCAGCAACACAGCCATCAACCCACCACGCGAAGCTGAAGAGAAGTTGACCTGTCGTGCAAGAGGCCTCTACGTGTTAGGGGGAACACGATAGGTGCATCCTGCGGCACCACTTTGCACTGCAGGCCCCAAGCTCTCTGGGCGGTTGGTCCGACCAAGCCTGCATTCCAAGACTCACATGAATGAAAACTAGTGAACATGAAGGGAGAAATGCAAAGTATGCATGCACTCGTTCGCTCAAAGAGCTGCTTTCTCGTTATAGTGCCGCGACGGTTGCAGATATAGATTGTGATTAAGTATAATAGGTTTGCCAATAGTGTGAGACATGTAATAATATTATATTACTAAATTTAATAACAGGTTAATAGATACAATGCTACTGTATGAATATTGCACTCATTATTTTAGTATTATTTTTATTATGCAAAAGCTCTCACCCTCATGAGCAGCTCGATACAGACAACGCCGGACGAGCAGATCAATGCCTGAGTAAGCGGTGGATTCATGATGCAATTGCGGCTCCATGCATTCTGCACTCCACACAACTCACAAAAAGAGGCAAAAAGGCTCCCTTTGAAGCTCTATAAGCAACAGAAGCTGCGTGATCAACACCCTAAAGAAGCAAGCAAGCCAGGAGAATAGCCTATCTATTACTTGTGTTAAATTCTGCATGATTTACCAGCCCTCTTTAATCTTTCTGTGGTCATATGGCGGTACTGATCGCCGTCAAACCATTCAAGGTACTGCATTTCCAAGCTGCATCCTTCATACAAACCCTGAGATGCGGCCTCAAGAGCTTTGGGCCCGGAGAGTATCCTCGGCGCCCTCCTGACGAGGTTCGGGGGCAGCCAGCGAATAGATGATACATCAGCCGCCCCTATACCGTTACACAGAACAACAGGAATTTCAATGAAATCCCCTACACATACAGGGCCCAGGTGAGTTAGCACAGCCTGCCCCGTCTCATCTCCGTGAAATCTACACATGTCCCGGTGCAGCCACAAACGCCGCTTGCTGCCAGCACGCGCAACTGCGACGGAAAACAACGGCGTTTCTCGGCGATATTGGTCTGCAGACTCCCCCAAAACCTGAACACATCCAAACAAATATGCAGCAATAAGCCAGAAAGCTAAAAGTGTAGAGATAAACGGAAACGCAGAAAAAGATTAACAAAGAACGCAGACGCAAAAGGTCAATCTACAGCGGGCTGCACTGAGGCCCAGCTGCAGCCATACGCGCGCCGTCTCTACTACACTAACAGCGGCTGCAGGGGGCGCGGGAAACAGAAGAAGCAAAGCAGCTGCCCATACGCCTGAATTCCAAAGGCAGCTTACCCTGCTGGGAGGCCGTATGATAACCGATGGACTATGTCCTCCCCCTGAAGCTGTATGCAGCGAAGATCTGCGGGAGAAGGAAGACCCCTCAGCTCGACGCGAGCCGAAGTCAGCTGCCGTCCTCTTATCCCGTCCTGCAGAACGGGGAGGTATATGCCACTGGTCGAGAGAATACGGATGGCGATATTTAAAATTATAACCCAAGGACAAGACGTAATTCGCACAAGCGGGCAACACCTGCAGCAACGAAAAGGCAGAAGTACAATAGAAGAGATCAAATTCAATTCATAATGCTTTAACACATAACTCGACAGCACTTATACAAGCATGCAAGACCGTGCAACCTCGTTGCGTCTAAGCAGCAGAATGACGCCGCATCCCCAGCTAAGCTGCAGCAGCTGCAGCGCAGCTTTCAATGCATCACTACGGCTGAGGCTACGCGAAACTGCTGCTGCACCTTCTACTACTGTGCATCGGTGTTTATGCAACAGAGAGAAATGTAAGTGGTTATGCTGCAGTCTCTGTACAGTGACGGACCCTCGCTGTGATCACCCAATCCAGGCGGACGTCGTTCCCTTGCGTTGTATGCAGCGCCTGCAGCTTCACTGTGGCGCTCACAGGCGCGAGGTATTCCCCATAAGACGCCTCGAAACCTTTCACTACGGGGGCACACATCTCAGCAAGCCCGCTGTAAAACAACAAGACAGCAGCAACAGCAGCAGTAGCAGTGGCGGCGCCACCGAAGATGCTTTGTGCTGTTTGTTGTTTACAACACATGCATACAGCCGAAGCAGCAGCTCTAAAGCTTTTTTAATTGTTTATTATTTATAAAGAATGTATAAGGGGGGCTATTACAACTCATAAATACCATACGTACTTGCTTATCTTCATAAACCAGTGCACGCACACACCCATGCAGGCCCCCAACGGCCGCCCAAAGAGAAAAGGCAGCAACACCTGCAGCGGCCTGCCCTCGAGAAAAGGAAAATGATTACACGCGGGCCCATAGGATACGGCTCCCCCTGAAGATGAGTCCTGATACAGACTGTCAACCCCTGCACCTGCAGCAACCGTCTGCCCCTTCGTCTTTGATGCTCCTCTATTCGAATTCTTCCTCGGAGTACACGACCCCAGGGCTGAGTTCGGCGAGAGAGGGCAAAACATCTCATGGTCCTCCTCTTGCACAACTAGGGAACCCGCACGCTGTTTCTCAGGGGCCCCCCTAACGCCTGTCGCAGGACCCGCCCCACCGGAGGCCCCCGGGGCCCCCCCAAAGCGGCCATCGGGGGCCCTGACCGAGGCTCCAGCTGCGCCAGAGTCAGCAGTACCCTGCGGGAGTATGTGGGTTTCTGTGGATGCGATTAGGGCTGCGTTTAGCTGCTTCGGCCTGCTGCTAGGGCTGGGAAACGCGTTCACAGCATATACCCTCTGTGTCCTGCATGTGGCACCGCCGTCATTGCTGCTGCTGCGGTTGCTGATGCAGCTGCTGCTGCTGCTGATATCTCGCTGCAGCGGCAGCTGGTGCTGGTGTTGCTGCTGTTGGTTATTCTCAGGTTCCGTTCTCCTCGAAACCGTCGGTGAGCAGTGCGCCATAGAAGGAAACGGCAGCGGTGACTGCGCCCTTACATGTGGTGCTCTCTCCCTGGTGAAGGACTGCGAGGGGCCCCCCAAGAGCTCATCTGCAGCTGCTGCTGTTTCGAACTCATCAGGGGCCCCATCGGAGTTGGTGTCGGTGGTTTCGGCTACGCTGAGGGTAGGGGGCAGGACAGACCCTGAATTTCCCTGTTCAAGAAGTATGGAGCCACTAGACTTCGCAGACTCTCGAGTAGTTAAGTTTTCCTGCTGCTGCTGCTTCTGCTTCCCCTCAGAGGTGATCGTTTGCTGCTGTCCGTCAGTGGGCCCCCAGCAACCTGTAGCAGCAGCGGCAGCTGTTCGGTCCGATTGACGGCCAGAAGGGGGAGGCGGTAAGCGGGCCTCTATGGAGGCCCTTACCGCCAAATAGCCATCAAGAGGAACCGACGGATGCGACGGGTGGTTGCCCATTGACACTGCTTTCGTTGGTGAACCGCTTGACCCGCGACACTGGCAGCAGACGTGAACCTGCGTGGCTATGAGCCCCAGGATGCGCGGAAGAAACAAGGATTGATAATTATATTAAATAAAAATCGAGTTCGGGTCAATGCACATCGCCTCCTTCAAAATGTATATGTGTGCTCTGACGTTAGTTGTCTGTTTGCTGCTGCGGCCACCGCCGGCGGAAAGGGCACATCGTTGCAAAAGTGCTGTTCTCCAGGCCCTCTGAACGCCTCTCTGAAGTAATTCAAAATACCTAAAAACAAAAGACACAGCTAAAAGAGGTCGACGAAGCCCCAGACCCTCCTCTCTTGGGTGGGCCTGCTTCGGGGGGCCCAGCGGCCCTACTGCCGGGGCCTGAGCGCCCGGGTTATTTCAGGTTTCCCAGGGTTCAAGGAAATAGATTCTGTTGAATTTATTCAACAAACATCGATACGCGTCAACTTGCAAACAAGGAGAAAACAGAAGTCATTGCATACTCAACAGTTGACCCCACGCCACCAGCGGACCGCCTCCACCGGACCGCGTGCAACTCCGTGTAGACAGGGTTCATCTACTGCTGTTGTGAGCTTTTCCCGAAATTCATTTTCTCTATATTTTCACAGTTGGAATCTCCATTCACTCAAGGAATCGCTAGACGGCAGAGACGTTGCAGCTTTCCCTGTGTGCCAGTGTGCCCGGCGTTGAAGCTGGTAGAAATGCAGAGAATTGCTGTTGCAAGCTGTTCAAAGTAATAGCTGNTAGACGCAATTGGAAGTAATAAACTTCAATAAACACATAAATTATTGTTGTACGGAGTCAAGTGTTCCGGCGTAGGCATTACTTGCAAAGTAGCGGAAAGGAGAGCTTTCAGCAGAAATGAAAGCTAGCATTCTTCTAATGATATTAATAACCCTCGTATAGTGCATTTGAAGCGAACGCTTCGTGAATACACTCGTAGAGTAGAGGATAGCCATTGCTCAAGCTCAAGGAGATGGTTATTTAGGCGGTTCTGCCGCTGCAGTTGCACTAACACTATCCAGAGGGAGCCCTTCTTTCACTCAACCATCAGTTTTCTTTCGTCTCTTGGGGGAGCAAAACCCTTATTTCTACGGGAAGAAGTGTGTAGCCGGGACGCAAGCCGAAAGAGCAGGTAGAAGAGAGCAAGCAGCAAACAGTCAGCTTTGTGCCTCGTCAGTTGTGCATTAATACTGCTATTCTCCCCAACTAAATTTTAGGAATGGCGTCTGAAGAAAACGCAGTTCTGTTCTTGTGTTGGCGAAGCAGTATTTGACAGCATCGTATTCATTTCTGCGTATCAACGTTGAACCAGAACAGTGGTTTTCCCTGGCACTGCCAAACTCTTCACGAAACACTAAAAGTGCAAACGACTTCAACAGGCTTTGTCTCTGCTTCTTTCCATAACAGATACTCTCTCTGTTTAGGTTTATGAATAGTTGTCGCAGAACAGCGAAAATCTAAACAAAAGAACGAACAGAGCAATTAACACCATTCTAGGAAGACGAAAATAAACAGCTCCTTGGCCCAATTGCGAGTTTTCTGGGGGGAACCCAGGGGCAGAGAGGTACCAATCGGTACTCAATGTGAAATGTAGTGTATATTCATTTTTCCAGCCACAACGCGGCTGAGCAGCTGTTTTCAAAAATAGGATACAATGCNATGTAGTGTATATTCATTTTTCCAGCCACAACGCGGCTGAGCAGCTGTTTTCAAAAATAGGATACAATGCATAATAGGTGGGAGCAGTTACTGTCAGGCAATCTCCACCAATATCGGTGCAAGTGAAGTGTAACCCTCAGAGAAGATAGCAGAGAAACACCATCTCATTTCTTCTAGTAATCTGGAGCAAGGCGATGGCAAAAACGCCCCTATTTCTGCTTGCTTTCTGGCTGCCTGCCAGTGCAGGGGGGAAAATAACGCTATTTCTCGTCATCCACGTTTGGTTTTCAAGTTGTAAGGTGCAACTCCCCATCAGCGGGGTAGCTCTCACGCGTGCTCCTGTAGCATAGTCTCACCGGCGTACCTGCACAACGATAAAGCAAACAGGTTGCATATATAGTTGCTTTGCTGGCGTCAAGAAACCCCGCTTGCTTGCACTACAGGCGTTTGCACACAGCAGCGTCTAAGCATACCTCCCGAGGGACATGATGGTGTAGACTGGGTTCATTCTGGTCAGCTGAGGAAGCACAGAGGCATCAACAATAGAAAGCCCGTTGAGACCCATAACCCGGAACTTGTCGTCCACCACCTTGCCCATGGGTGCGCTGCCGTAGGTATGGCCGATGCTTGTCATGTATGACAAAGCAAACTTCGCCAGGGCCTTCGGGTTTTGAGAGCCTGCATGCCGATGCACAGAAAGCGTGAGTAAAGATGGCAGATGTACAGACACCCAACATCCTTTTTCTCAAGTGATTACTGAAGACGCCACAACAACTGAGCACCGCCAACCAGCACAGCACCTCAGTATACAGCCGGTAGGGAGGTCCCACTCTCCAAGGCTATGTTGGAGCAATCATTGTTGCTATCTGAACAAAGTGGAAAACATACTGGGAAGCCTTGGGGGGTATGTCGCGGCCCATTGCTGGCTCGCAGACTTCTCGGCTGCTATGGTGTGCAGCCCAAAGAATGGAGCAAGGAACTCCTCCTTCTTGACAGCACCTCCGCTGTCTGCAGCATCTGCGTTTGAATATGGGTCCTGAATAAATAAATAGAGCAAACAAAACTTCTTCAACACGAGCAGCGCATCGCTACGCACCTGCATGATTCAGAAGCTTAGACGCATAAACCAAAACGAGCGGTGCAATCAGTGGAGTAGTGATGGATCTTCCCTACCAGCTGTCATTCTGGATCAACCATCTTTTCCAGGCAACCCAAGCAAAACCTGCTATTTTATTACTGTCATTCACATCCTCCAAAATTAGTTTATAATACGGATACTCAGCTATTTGCACCATAACACGTTTTCTACTTACACGCGAATGGATCCCGTAATNTTATAATACGGATACTCAGCTATTTGCACCATAACACGTTTTCTACTTACACGCGAATGGATCCCGTAATCCATCATGTACAAAACCGTCATTAAAAGCTCACTTTAATCTGTTGATCAGCAAGCGTGGGCTGGCCGGGGAGGCGAATGCATTTGCTGTTGCCGTAAGTAGTGCAGCAAACGTCCAGCTTGGCACAAGTGTGGTCTTCGACAGCTTTCTGCGTGCAGGGTTTCTTGCAGTCTTCAATGGCTTGTTGAAGGGTTGGATCGTTGGGGGCAGCCTTGAGCAGCTCCTCGGACTTGATAGAGTCTGCCGTTTTCTTCAGCTCGTCCATCTTCTCTGAACCCAACACTTTCTCGAGCTCAGCATCCAGACGCCGGCCAATAGCACCCAGGTGCAGCGAGGGATCCTTTGCAGCTTCGTCTGTGCCCTCTACGTGGGCGCGATATGCAGCGAAATCGAAGCCAACCTGCCACAGAAGAAAGGCGGAGAAAAAAACAGCTGAACGACAGAAGAGAAGAACAAAGCAAGTAAAGTAAGCTCTACTACTGTATGCGCAAGAGTTGGGGCATGACTCTACGGATATGTAAAAGGAATATTCTATCAACGGGGGATGGTGCTGACTGCTTCGAGTCGGCGCTTAATGCCCAGCTTTTCCATTTTCGCCTCGTCAACGTCGTGTTCAACGAAAGGGCTGTA